GTTGAGTTTATCTAAGATAATTACAATGTTTCTGGATTTACAGCAGAGTGGAGGTAATGTTTGTTGAGTTTATCTAAGATAATTACAATGTTTCTGGATTTACAGCAGAGTGGAGGTAATGTTTGCTGGATTATCTAAGATAATTACAATGTTTCTGGATTTACAGCAGAGTGGAGGTAATGTTTGCTGGATTATTTAAGATAATTACAATGTTTCTGGATTTACAGCAGAGTGGAGGTAATGTTTGCTGGATTATCTAAGATAATTACAATGTTTCTGGATTTACAGCAGAGTGGAGATAATGTTTGCTGGATTATCTAAGATAATTACAATGTTTCCGCTTTCAAAGAAGAGTGGAGGTAATGTTTTCTAGTATTAGCCACAATAAGTACAATGTTTCTAGTTTAACAGTAGCAATAACAATTTCATTTTTACTCAGGATAATTAAAATGTTTTTGGTATGTAAGTACAGTTTACATCTGTTCGAGGTATAATGATGTATCTACTTGTACTAAAATCATTTATGAATGGTAAAGTTATATACATATATATAATTGAAATGGTGAAGAAGAAGGATAAGAATATTACAGGAATTTATCATGTGACAATGAACTGAACCAAAGTACAATAACATGATCATCATCTAAATTGTGAATGGTTGTCAACCAACCAGTCAGAAAGTAGTATTCAGTGCAAAAGTTTTAAAAGTACACTGTACACTGTAAGTTGTTAAAACTGTCATTAGATACAGGAGTCTTGGGAAGTTGAACACTGTTGGATGTTAGATCTGTTATTAGGTACAGGAAACTGGGGAGGTTCAACACTGTAAGTTGTTAAAACTGTCATTAGATAGAGGAGACTGGGGAGGTTGAGCTCCGTAAGTTGTTAAAACTGTCATTAGATATAGGAGACCGAGGAGGTTGAACAACACTGTAAGTTTTTAGATCTGTTATTAGATATAGGAGACGGGAGAGACTGTACACTGTAAGTTTTTAGATCTGTTATTAGATATAGGAGACTGGAGAGACTGTACACTGTAAGTTTTTAGATCTGTTACTAGATACAGGAGACTGGGGAGGTTGAACAACACTGTAAGGTTTTAGATCTGTTATTAGATATAGGAGACCGAGGAGGTTGAACAACACTGTAAGTGTTTAGATCTGTTATCAGATATAGGAGACTGGAAAGACTGTACACTGTAAGTTTTTAGATCTGTTATTAGATACAGGAGACTGGAGAGACTGTACACTGTAAGTTTTTAGATCTGTTATTAGATACAGGAGACCGAGGAGGTTGACTACTGTGTTAACGACCACAGGTTTTTAATGGTATATAATTTCCTAGGAATAGATGATGGGTATGACCTTGACAGAGATATGTTGGCAGCGATCTATGAAAGAATCAAATCCAGTGAATTTAAGCCAGGGTCTGATCATGTGTCACAGGTTCTCAAGATTCAACAAGCAATAGTGGGCAAAAAACCGGTAAGTGTGGAGACTCAATGTTGCTAGGGAAACAATAACCCAATTTCAATCCTGTCTTATCATGTGTCACAGGTTCTCAAGATTCAACAAGCAATAGTGGGCAAAAAACCGGTAAGTGTGGAGACTCAATGTTGCTAGGGAAAAAATAACCCAATTTCAATCCTGTCTGATCATGTGTCACAGGTTCTCAAGATTCAACAAGCAATAGTGGGCAAAAAACCGGTAAGTGTGGAGGCTCAATGTTGCTAGGGAAACAATAACCCAATTTTAATCCTCTACTGATCACATCTTACCTGTTTGACATCCTTATTTTATTTAGTAAATTACTTGGCTTATTGATAGACATAGGTCTAGTTTCAAGAACTAAGGCTCAAATAGACGAAACGATAGATCACAAAAATCCAAATGAGGCGAAACAAGGTTTGATCGCCGCTATGCAGAAAGTCTGACAGTAAGAAAAAAATATACAAAGCAACTTAATTGTGCAAAATACCTTTAACAGAATATTTAGTCTGTACAAACTCTTTCAAAACGAGGGTTAGAAATTGTGCTAATGGTTAATTATAAGTGCTTACACTAGAAGCAGTTGGTCTAACTTTGCATCCTTTATGGAGTACATATAATATTCCATACTGTGAGCCAGCTTCTATGGTGTTTTGATACATATAGTCCATTATGTCGCTATCTTCCTTTGATTTAAAAGGTAAGTTTAGTTTCGACGGTTGATGTACGATTATTCCTACTTTCTATAAACTTATATTTATTACTTAGAATGATGTATTGACACTGTTGAAGCTGTTTAAAGACGATGTGCTAATTATGATGTAAAGTCATTGTTTAGAAATATGCTTCGAGACGAAACCACTGATCTTTGATCTAACCCTCTGTTTGCTGAGAATCAAACTATGCCAGATAAAATCTTTTAAAAACACGTTTACGTTTTGCGGTAAAACAGTAACATTTTTATTTTTAAAATATATGAACGCATTGATGCGGTGGCTATGGGCATCAGCCTTGTTTCTGTGCTTCCATAAACAAATTTAGTTACAGGTCCTGTCCAGAAAGTTTTAAGCCTGTGTATTACAGGAGAAACGTTGACGACACAGTTTGGTTACAGTCCTGTCTTGAACGTCTTAAGCCTGTTTACTACAGAAGATATGTCGACGGCACAGTTTGGTTACAGTCCTGTCTTGAACGTTTTAAGTCTGTGTATTACAGGAGAAACGTTGACGACACAGTTTGGTTACAGTCCTGTCCTGGACGTTTTAAGTCTGTGTATTACAGGACATATGTTGACGACAGTTTTGTAGTGTTAAACAATGTTGAGTCAGTTAACGAATTTTACTTGCAGAGCCTTCACAGTTTCACACAGACTGGTCATTTACTGATAACTTCATGATACTAAAGCTGTCTGTGTTTACGTTCAGAACCTTCACAGTTTCACACAGACTGGTCATTTACTGATAACTTCATGATACTAAAGCTGTATGTGTTTACGTTCAGAACCTTCACAGTTTCACACAGACTGGTCATTTACTGATAACTTCATGATACTAAAGCTGTCTGTGTTTAGTTTCAGAACCTTGCGCAGCCTCATAGAAGACTTATCTGTTACTACCGACTTTGTGAAGTTTATGACATTAATAGGAAAGCAAGAGAGGGTCTTCATAAACGAGAAGTGTTCCTTTTTAATGACATTCTGATGGTAAGGTTATTTTAGTCAGATGTTTGTATATAGATTACAGGTTTAGTGATGGCTGAAACTTAAGTACTTAGTTAATAAAAGGTGTGTAAATAGTTCAGTTATATGATCCTATTCAGTCACTGACTTTATTTTGTCTCATTATGTCTTAATCTGTAACAGGGTTTCATCATTAATTACTGTGTTTTCTGTCTCATTATGTCTAGGTTTGCACGTTATTATTTGTGACAATGTTTCATCATTATTCACTGACGTTGTTCTGTCTAGGTTTGCACGTTATTATTTGTGACAATGTTTCACCATTATACACTGACTTTGTTCTGTCTCATTATGTCTAGGTCTACACGTTATTATCTGTGACAATGTTTCACCATTATTTGCTGACTTTGTTCTGTCTCATTATGTCTAGGTCTACACGTTATTATCTGTGACAATGTTTCACCATTATTTGCTGACTTTGTTCTGTTCACTTTATGTCTAGGTCTACACGTTATTATTTGTGACAATGTTTCATCATTATTCACTGACTTTGTTCTGTCTAGGTTTGCACGTTATTATCTGTGACAATGTTTCACCATTATTCGCTGACTTTGTTCTGTTCCATTATGTCTAGGTCTACACGTTATTATCTGTGACAGTGTTTCACCATTATTTACTGACTTTGTTCTGTCTCATTAT